CAGGCAGCCAACTGCAGCCAACTACTACCCGGTCACATCCCGCATTGCGCTGCAGGACAACAACAAGCGAATTGCCCTGCTGAACGACCGTGCTCAGGGAGGAGCCAGCATGAACGACGGACAGTTGGAGCTGATGTTGCACCGTCGTCTCGTCCGAGATGATGGCTACGGAGTGGGAGAGGCCTTGAACGAGGAGAAGTACGGTCAGCCCATGATTGCCCGCGGCAAGGTCTACCTGATCCTCAGCCCTGCCGATGAGTCCACCGCCGTGGAGCGCGAGGCCGAGAAGGAGATCCATTTGCCGTTCTGGAAGTTCTTCAGCAAGAACACCGGAAGCACCAGCGCTGCTGCCAAGTCGGTTCCCAGCTTCGAGGACTTCCCCAAGTCGGTGCATCTGCTTACCCTGGAGCCTTTCAACGATGATGAGGTCCTGCTGCGTGTGGAAAACTTCTTGGATCACACCGAGGGCAAAGTGGTTAGCTTCAACATTCGCCCCATCTTCGATTACTTGAATGGAGTTGAAATTCGCGAAACCACCTTGGACGGCAACCTGCCATTGAGTGACATGAAGCGTTTCAAGTTCCACCACGATAACTCGGGACACAGGCCCGACAATGTTGAATTCTACACCTCGGCCCACAAGCCATTGGCCGCTGAAAAGGCTCAGGAAGCCTCCGAGTTCAGCGTCACCCTGCACCCAATGCAGATCCGTACATTCATTATCAAGACGGAGTAAGCCAAAGTTCTCAACAAAGTATTTCACGAAATGTAAATATTAAAATAAAGAAATTAATGCCAAATAAATTTGAATTTAGTTTTTTAAAAATATTTATTAAAGTCATTGAATGTGATAAATTTCACACTTTCTATTTAGTAGTTGGGGCAAAAACATAAGAGTAGAACCACAATGCAAAGAAGGACAAGAGCAACAGAAATATAAATCGCATTTACTAAAAGAAAAACAAGAAAATTTAAAAATCATATAGCTTCTATATTAACTATTAAATATTATTAAATATTCTATTCCTTTAAACACTTATCTTTTTTCCTTTAAACATTTATTTTTTTAAAATCATTTTATAGGTTTGTTTCAGTTTTGGATTCACAAAAAGTTTTTAGATGTACAATAAAGATTATATTCTCAATTTCAAAGAAAAATTTTACATCATCATGTTTTGAACTGTTACACTTTTAGAAGTAAAAAATAATTGGGACATATTTCTGTTACATGTTTAGTTAATTTAAGCTACCTTTTTTATGATAAATGTGCGAATTATCTTAAGTTTTAAGCTGACACTTAATTCCGAGCCATGGTGGGATTTGTCAACTGCGAACGGTTTATGCAAGATCGTGAAATACCGAGTTAACGGACTGGGACCATAACCATCTTGATGGAACCTACTTTACATAATTTAATTTACCACTGGACCACTAAACCAATGGATTCGCCGGAGGACCAGCCAATTTTCTAAAAAACGCCTGTATTTCCCTGTATTTGAAGTGCTCGTACTCTTTTTTTAGCCGAATTCATTTGTTTTCTGATTCCAATTCTCTTAGAACCTAGTTTGTTTGGTTTTGTGCCCCGCACTTTTCTATGAAAAAAATTTCAATTTGTGAGTTGAGAAATCCAGAAATTATGTTTGAGTGTTCCTGCATACTCTTAAGCATACGTTTATAAAAGAAAAAGTTACAACAATCAATGTCGTTGATAATGTGATTATATTCATCTTGTTATTCCAGGCAATCAATGCATTGTTTTTTTTTAATATGTCTTCGATTTTTTTAACTGTCTCTGGTGAAAGTAGAATTTGTTTTGCCATGTTGAAGCCCTTTTTAAAATGCCTGAAAGCTTCAAACTTTTTCAATAGTATTTTGTCGTCGGTATCGTTTCCGGGCTGTGAAATATTTCAATAAAATTAGTGGCCAGGACCAATAGAATATTAAATAATAAACTCACGAGTGTTATTGAAAATACATTTTTCCAGGAAATACACAGCAATATCAGAACTACAAATATTCGCATTTTGTCAAATACTGTCGCACAATAATTGAGAATATAAACTGCCAGTCTATTCCAATAAGAACGTCTTTTTAGAGGCTAAGCTGCTGATAAGCAAATGCGGGGTTTTTTTTCATACAGTGGCGCAATTTCCATTTTTTCTTTGCTAAAAATCATATTTCTTAAACCAGATGTAATCGCCAATATTTTATGAACTGTCAGCTTTCGAAGCATAATTTCCATATTTTAAAAGGCTAACCTTTTCCTTGCAGCTAAAAACATTCATGACCGTTTAATGATTTGATTTTCTAGTCTCAGTAATTCGATTTACTGCATCATGTACCTGACACTGGACACACTTAAATTTAAGATATAATATTGCTTTTGTACCCACACCGGTATATTGGAAGCAGTTATGTCATATGTTACATCGATAAAAAAGGCATGTTGTGAGATCGAACTTATAATCAGTCAAAACATTAGAGAATTCAAAATGCATATATCTATATATAGTAAAGGGCTGGAAAGGCCTTACAATTACTGAAGTCTTTTGAAGCTTTTTTCCCCAAGCAGTCACAATCGCATTCATGTGGACTGTGTGTTTTTAATAACCTTGAATCTGTCGATTTTTAAGGGAGGTGTTAAAAAATATCTGATTTTTTAAAGGGTTACATATTTGGATTAGTGGTATTTTTTATTTTTGTTATATTTTTTTTTTCAACTGTTATGCAACTGTTACTCCACTGTGCGACATAGTTTAGAAATACGATTTTTGGACGGAGTTCCCCGGCTTATCAATTGTTTTAAAAGAATGGCAGTGCCTTGTTTTTATTTTAAGTTTATGCTCTTTGCCCTTGACCTAATCATTTCAATTTATTGCAAATTAAGTGGAAATACCTCTTAAACTTCCTGTTTGTTTGCCCAGATCGTGCTTAATTAATTTGACTATACATATGTATAAAGTTAATATAAAGTAATATAAAAGATTGGGCAATTTTTTATACTTTTTAATTGATGCTCTCATAGTTAATTTCTTTTTGTTTTCCTGGCTACACCAGGCCCACACGTGGGAATAAACGACTGAGTCTTGGATTTGCACACCCAACTTAACACGTTCCCCAACGTTGAAATTATTTAATCAAAGTTGGATTATCTGTCCAGCACAGCGAGTAAACAGGTGGCGAGTGGGTGGTGGGTAAATTCTGGCTTGGGTTCCATTTGAATCAAAAGCACCAACACATATGGCAAGCCACACTGTGGCAAGTCTTGCAAGAGAGAATATCAGTATATAATTTACATACCCATATAAAAAATATTATGTTACCTCTAATTAAAATCAAATCAAAGGTTCTTATCAGTTTATGATTCATAGTTATCAATAATACTCAGCTGACGTAATACAACATATATTAATCATCTCTTAAAAACAATGATGGGATCATCGTCTCTGAATTAATTTTAAACTTTTTGGCTTTCGCATTTCTACCTATGACTATGTTTTAGACAAATAGTATTCAAAACAAGAGAGAACGCTATAGTCGGGTGCCCCGACTATCAGATACCCGTTACTCAGGTAAAGGGAGTGCGAGGGAGATGGAGATAGAAACTTTGATCACGCATAACTTTTTAACGAATGGTCCGATTTTCTACATTTCGATAGGTATTGATAAACACAATAAAACTGCATATTTAGTTTTCCGAAATATTTAAATTTTTAAAATCGTATATAAGCGATTGTGGGCGTTAAAGGGGGCGTGACACCTTTTTGAAACAAACTTGCACTGCGTAGGAACTCCTAGAATCTGCATGCAAAATGCCAATCTTCTAGCTTTTATAGTTTCCGAGATCTCAGCGTTCATACGGACAGACAGACAGACAGACGGACAGACAGACGGACAGACGGACAGACGGACATGGCTATATCGACTCGGCTAGTGACCCTGATCAAGAATACATATACTTTATAGGGTCGGAAACGCTTCCTTCTAGCTGTTACATACTTTTGCACGAATATAATATACCCTTTTACTCTACGAGTAACGGGTATAAATATAAACTATTTTGCTTAGAAACGGACATTCGGACGGACAGACAGACTAGATCGACTTATACTTAATAGCGTCGGAAATGTGCCCTTCACTGCATTGCCAACTATTTGCTAACATAATAAAAATAGATTAATTATTATTAAAATAATCAAACAGTCAACACATCTTCGCTGGGTTCCGGATTTATACATTAAATTCAAAACTCAAGCATAACGCTTCACAAAACAGTAGTGTTCTACAAGACTTCGATCCAATCTGCAACCTTATTTCTTTAAGCTAGAATAGTTTGGATTAGTAGCGAGTGAAATGGGAATGGATTAAGTCCTTTCTTCCTTGAAACGCTTTAAGTTCACTAATATAATAATACGTTTAAGTTTCGGTTAATTAATATAAGAAACCAAGTTAAGGGATAGGCACCCAAGTGTTTTGTTGCCGACCCAGAACCAGGTCGACATAAGTGCTTCGTTGGTAATGGATTAAGATATCGTTTGCCTCGGTACTCCACTGTATCTCATCACTTGCGCTTTGCGTGGGTCTTTTATTTTCCAGCTTAAGACCTATAAATGTATTTCAAGGGCCTGTTTTACTTGATTATTTCCAGTACAAATCCATAAACATTGTTAATGTGCAATCGACCATTTAAAATGGATCTGACTAATCTACAGATAAGCACTGCAACTCCATCAAAACAGAAGCAACGGTTTATAGACGCTCATTAACAACTATGTTTGATAGTGAACCGTATTTCGAAAAAGGTACATTTATAAGTTTATATATATGTTTTGAGGGGTATAATCGTCATTAACTAATTATCGTCAAAATACGGCTAATTGATTTTTGAGCATGCTTGAGTTTACTTAATGAGATAGACTCAAGTACCGATAGGTTATCAATCAGCTCAGATATAAATATGCCAGCTTTTGAAAGTGAAGAATTCAGTTGGTTAGCTGAGTTGGAGCTATTTGTTACACCCAATAGAAAACCTAGGGATCCTGCGATGAAGTATCTGGGCATCGTCCTTTGCGTTGCCCTATTGGCAATCCATGCAAAGTCTGCCCAAGCTGTCTGTGGCTATGAGGTAAGCAAAGAGAAGGGCATTAGAAAACTCAAGGATTACCTCTTGCGAAACGAGTTAAAGTAACGAATAAACTATCGGTTTCCAGTCATGTCATGAGACCAAGTCAAATATGGTCAACATCCACTTGGTACCCCACTCCCACGATGATGTGGGCTGGCTGAAGACGGTTGATCAGTACTACTACGGCCACAAGAACAACATTCAGCACGCTGGAGTCCAGTACATTATCGACACCGTGATCTCTGAGCTGATCAAGGATCCCGCCCGTCGCTTCATCCAGGTGGAGACCTCCTTCTTCTCCAAGTGGTGGGACGAGCAGTCGGAGACAGTCAGGTCCATTGTCAAGAAGCTGGTCAACGAGGGACGTCTTCAGTTCACCAACGGTGCCTGGAGCATGAACGACGAGGCTGCCGTGAACTACCAGAGTGTGATCGATCAGTTCACAGTCGGATTGAAGTGAGTAATGGTGGGGTTGTGTTACAGAACGATTAGATTCAACATACCCGCTCAATGACAGATTCCTGGACGACACCTTTGGAGTCTGTGGACGTCCTCGCGTCGGCTGGCAAATCGATCCCTTTGGCCACTCCCGTGAACAGGCCTCTCTGTACGCTCAGATGGGTTACGATGGCGAGTTCTTCTCCCGCATGGACCACAACGACAAGGGACGCCGCATGAACGACCTCGCCCTGGAAATGGTTTGGGATGCCAGTGAGTCACTTGACTACACCAAGCTCTTCACTGGACTCCTGTATACGTTCTACTGGGACACTCCCGGATTTTGCTTCGATGTGCACTGCAGCGACGATCCGATTATTGACGGCGATAGTTACGACAACAATGTCAAGTCCAGGGTGGACGATTTTATCGCCTATGCCGCCCAAGTCGCCGAAAAGTTCCGCACCAACCACATCATGATTCCCATGGGCGGAGACTTCCAGTATGAAGATGCTGAGGTCAACTTTAAGAACATGGACAAGCTGATCAAGTAAGTATTGCATAGGATTTTTTGAACGATTCATTAAACCCATGCGTTCAACTTCAATTGTCAGGTACGTCAACGAACGTCAGACAAGTGGCTCCAAGTACAACATCTTCTACTCAACTCCCGGATGCTACTTGAACTCTGTGCACAAGAGTGTTCAGTCCTACCCAAACAAAACTTTGGACTTCTTCCCCTACGGAAGTGATACCAACAGTTTTTGGACTGGTTATTACACCTCTCGTCCCACCCAAAAGCGGTTTGAGCGAGAAGGCAACACCATTCTTCAGGTGGCAAAGCAGCTCAGCGCCTTCGCCGAACTCTCCAGCGCACAGCAAAAGGAAGATCTTGAATACCTCCGCCAGATCATGGGCGTAATGCAGCATCACGATGCCATTACTGGAACCGAAAAGCAGGCCGTGTCCGATGACTACGATCGCCTTTTGTATGATGCTATCGTTGGAGGTGCCAATACTGCCCGCGATGCTCTCCGAAAACTGACCAACCTGCCCAACGGAGAGTTCGAGAGTTGTCTGCAGTTGAACATCAGCGAGTGCGCCTTCACCAAGGACAATGCTGACAACGTGGTGGTGACCCTTTACAACCCCTTGGCCCACACCTCCACCCAGTATGTGCGAGTGCCCGTCAAGAATGAGAACTACCAGGTGACCGATGAGAAGGGTCGCGTGGTGGCCTCCGAAGTAGTCCCAGTTGCCTGGCAGGTCCTGGCCCTCGAGTTCCGCAACAACGACACTCAGCATGAGTTGGTCTTCGAGGCTTCCGTCAACAAGATCGCCAGCTACTACATCAAGAAGGTCGAAAAGGCAGCAAACGAAGAAGAATCTAAATTGAAAGCCAATGCTGAGACCTACGATGACGATGAGACGGTGGTGCAGACTTCGGTAAGTTCTCATGACAATTGGCAAGGAAGTTCTTTCTCTAAACTGTTTTTATTTTGTATCTCTATTAGCTGGTAAAATTGGTGCTCGACAATAAGACTGGCCTATTAAAGAGGGTCGAAATGAACGGCGTCTCCGAGAACATTGATCAGAGCTATGGCATTTACAGGACCTATGACTCCGGTGCATATGTCTTCCGTCAGTACAACCAAGGAGACTTTGTCATCCAGGAAGATGGTGTCGAGTTTACTGTTTACGATGGAGCTTTAGTCAAGGAAGTCCACCAGCAGTTCAACGAGTATATCTCCCAGGTTATTCGTATCTATGAGAAGAAAAATTACGTGGAGTTCGAATGGCTGGTTGGCCCCATTCCAATTGAAGAAGAGTTTGGAACGGAAGTTGTTACCGTTTTCAGCAGTGGAATTTCCTCCGAAGGCGTATTTTACACTGATTCCAATGGTCGTGAATTGATCAGACGCGAAAAGGACAAACGTGAAGATTTCGTCCCCGAACTTGCAGTGCAGCCAACTTCCGGAAACTATTATCCGATCACATCCCGCATTGCTCTGCAGGACAGTAGCAAGCGAATTGCCCTCCTGAACGATCGTGCCCAGGGAGGATCCAGCATGAAGGACGGACAGTTGGAGCTCATGTTGCACCGTCGTCTCGTCCGAGATGATGGCTACGGAGTGGGAGAGGCCTTGAACGAGCTCAAGTACGGTCAACCGATGGTTGCCCGCGGTAAGGTATACCTCATTCTCAACGCTGCCGACGAGTCTACATCCGTGGAGCGCGAGGCCGAGAAGGAGTTCCACCTTCCTCTCTGGAAATTCTTCAGCCAGAACAGTGGCAGCAGCAGTTCGGCTGCCAAGTCGGTTCCCAGCTTCGAGGACTTCCCCAAGTCGGTGCATCTCCTTACCTTGGAGCCCTTCAACGATGATGAGGTTTTGTTCCGTGTGGAGAACTTCAAGGATCACATCGAAGGCAAAGTGGTTAGCTTCAACATTCGCCCGATCTTCGATTACTTGAATGGAGTGGAAATTCGTGAAACCACCTTGGATGGCAACCTGCCATTGAGTGACATGAAGCGTTTCAAGTTCCACGCTGAAGGTTCGGGAGCGAGGGCAACAGAAGCTGAGTATTATACCTCATCCCACAAGCCCCTGTCCGCTAATGGAACGCAAGACGCCTCCGAATTTGCTGTCACCTTGTACCCAATGCAAATTCGAACATTCATCATTAAGATTAAATAATCGCTTTGATGTGTATCACCTTCCATTTTTCCGCTTAAATAAATAAAATTTTGTATGAAACAAATACATTTTTAAGATATTTATGTTCAATGATACGCCGGGAATTTAATGGTAAATTAAGAGAGGACGAGCGCTTTGGTCGACAATTTCAAATTTCATAATAAATATCCCGTGTTGGAATATTTATTCCAATTTTGGGGCAAATATTACAGATGCAAAACCAGCTCTGGTACGTCAAATCTAAGCCCACGAGCTTCTGTAGATCCTGAGGCAAGATCTCATATGGACAGACAAACAGTCAGAAGGGTAGATATAAGGTCATTGGTAGATCTGTACATTTTGGGGTAGGACACGCTTCTTTCACCTGTTAAATACTTATTAACGAATACAATATATTATTTTTTCCCACGAGTAAAGTGTGAGAACAATAATTTAATTAGATCTTTTTTAAAAAAATAAAACGTTTATTTTTACTGATTCAATGCGGTCAATATGTATTTCGTATTGTGGACTCCACACGGACGGATTCGCGATACGTCACTAAGACGTAAGGATCATCGAATTCTTTTGACCACCTTTTAATAAAACCAAGCACGGCTCTGGCTTTATTAACCATTGACGAAATGTGTTCAGAATATTTCAGTTCTAGATCGAATTGTTATCTTGGCAGGTAATATCCTTATTCTGCAGGCATAATTTAACATCATCTGCGTACATAAGTTCGCGAGAATGACTTAAGGGGTTATCCGGGTCTTGACACTTTTTTATATAATAGTACAAAGTTTCAGGAATGTTGTCTGAAAATTTCAAGTCGATCGAAGCAAAACTGTAGGAATGGGAGAAATTTAAAGCCCAGCGCGTCGAACGTCACAACGGGCCATTCGGGCTCTGGCGTCGGGCAGATGCGGCACTTTAAACGCGTTTTTCTCAAAACCACTTTTTTGAAGTCGGTAGTCACGATTTCTCAAAAACTATTGCACCGATCAACTTCTGCTTTTGCACACTTCTTTTAGACATAATTCTCTTGTCCTTGACGGAGCGATTTTTTTAATTTTTAATTACAACTCATTTTATTAGCCAAAATATGGCCAAAATTTAGGTAAAAACTGACACTTTTTATGAAAAGCGCTACAAAAAATTCAATTTTTAATTTTAAAATAAAATGGCTCGTAGAGGACAAGCGAGACACATACACTATTAGAATAATTTTGGTTTTTGATTTCAGACAAAAATTGGCGGAGATATTTTGCCTACCGCAAGGACACAATTTTTTATGAGGTCAAGTTCAAGCCTGCCTCAACGGCTCAATTTTAAAAATATTTGGTTCAAATTTTTACACAATGTTGGTCAAACCATAAACATTAAATTACAATAAATGAAATTTGTGAAATTGTCATAAGATCTTTAAAAAAATTCACGAAAATGGCCTTTTTTTCGTGCTCCAAGACCCGGATAACCCCTTGAAACTGAGGGAAGGTCGTTAATAAATAATGTGAAAGAGTAATATTAATACTTAGCACGCTTCTTGATTGATAAGATTGCAAGAGTATTACAGAAGCTAATAACCTTCTTAAGTGGTAGATAAATATTGGGGGTTAATGCTTTATCTTGTAGCTAACATAAAGGGCGAGTGGACTAAAAATAAAAACTAATTACCAGTTCCTGAGTATTTAATGACCCCCGCCAATTACGTTACCTTATCACGGTTACCATCCAGTTTGTTCTTATCAAGCTATACCTGTGAGTTTTGCGCCCTATAAAACAGCAGTCTGGGGTAAAAAAAAGTCAGTACTTGGTGATGAAATATAATGACATATCTCGGTCGCATTTTTCTCTTGACCATCATATTGGTGGTCTTCTTAAAACACTCCAAAGCAGTTTGTGGCTATGAGGTAAGATACTTTTATAGTTTATTTATTGTAGTGTGTCCATATTTTCATTTTCCGTAGTCATGTCCTGCAACGAAAGCGAACATGGTTAACATCCACTTGGTTCCTCACTCCCACAATGATGTGGGTTGGCTGAAGACCGTCGATCAGTCCTACTATGGCTACAAGAACGCCATTCATCATGCTGGTGTCCAATATATATTGGATAATGTTGTGTCTGAGCTAATTAAGGATCCCAATCGTCGCTTTATTCAAGTGGAGACGGCCTACTTTGCAAAATGGTGGAAGGTCCAATCGGAGACCATGAAAAAAGTGGTCACCAAGTTGGTCAACGAGGGTCGCTTTGAGTTCACCGGCGGCGCCTGGAGTATGAACGATGAGGCAGATGTCAATTACCAGGGTGTGATTGACCAGTTTACCGTGGGACTGAAGTAAGTAAATTGAAATGATTTTCTCTCTTTAGGTATTAACCTGCCCCGTGTAGGTTCCTCAACGAGACCTTTGGCGCCTGTGCTCGTCCTCGAGTTGGCTGGCAGATCGATACTTTTGGGCATTCCCGTGAGCAGGCATCAATTTTCGCTCACATGGGATACGATGGCCAGTTCTTTTCCCGAATGGATCATAATGACAAGGACACTCGCTTAAATAACTTGACCATGGAGATGATTTGGGATACCAGCGAATCGATGAGTGGCGTTAACCTCTTCAGCGGCATGCTGTACAACTTTTACTCGGACACTCCAGGCTTCTGCTTTGATGTACTTTGCACCGATGAGCCTATCATCGATGGCAAAAGCAATGAAAACAATGTGAAGGAGAGGATAGATGGCTTCATTAGTTATGCGAAGGAAATGTCAGAGCACTACCTGACTAATCACATCATGGTTCCAATGGGAGGTGATTTCCAATACGAGGATGCTAGAGTCAACTACAAGAACATGGACAAACTCATTAAGTAAGAATGGGAGAGCATTAAAAATCACCATTAAATTTGTATTCCATTAGGTACATAAACGAACGCCAGACGTCGGGATCCGCTTACAACATTTTCTACTCCACCCCGAGTTGCTATCTTAATTCCTTGCACCAGAGTTTGCAGTCGTGGCCCAACAAAACCCAGGACTTTTTCCCCTATGCCCATGAACGCAATAGCTTTTGGGCCGGCTTCTTCACCTCACGTCCAACCCAGAAACGTTTCGAACGGGATGGTAATCACATGTTGCAGGTGGTAAAGCAGCTTTCGGTATTTGCGAATCTAACGAGTGAGCAGCAAAACAAAGACTTGGAATATCTGCGTCAGATCATGGGCGTGATGCAGCATCACGATGCCATAACTGGCACCGAAAGGCAGGCCGTTTCGGATGATTACGATCGATTGATGTATGACGCCATAGTAGGAGCATCCAACAATGCTCGCGATGCTCTGCGAATTCTCACCAACATGCCCAATGGGGAGTTCGAAAGTTGCCTACGGTTAAACATCAGTGAGTGCGCTTTTACCAAAGATGGTGCTGACAACGTGGTCGTGACCTTGTTTAACCCCCTGGCTCATACCTCAAGTCAGTATGTGCGCATACCCGTGAAGGAGGAGAACTACCAAGTCATCGATGAAAAGGGCAACCAAGTTCCCTCGGAAGTGGTTCCAGTAGCCCGGCAAGTCTTGGCCTTGGAATACCGACCCAATGACACTCAGCACGAGTTAGTTTTCAAGGCTACAGCGAATAAAATCGCAAGCTACTACATCAAAAAAGTTGTGAGTTCAGAGAGCAATCTGACTTCCTCCATTAAGAAGATAAGCCCCCGAGAAATCGATGAGTCAGAGACTGTGGTAGAAAATTCAGTAAGTCTATTTGTTTGCCTGATAACAGGAATGTATTATTTTAAATTGTTTAATCCGCAGCTTGTTAAACTGGTGATTGAAAACAAAACCGGACGCTTGAAGTTGGTTGAGATGAACGGCGTGTCTGAGAAAATTGTCCAGAACTTTGGCGTCTACAAGACCAACACTTCTTGTGCATATACTTTCCGTCAAGATGGGGATATTCAAATTTTAGAAGATGATTTTGAATTCACAGTTTACGAAGGAGCTTTGGTCAAGGAAGTCCACCAGCAGGTGAACGAGTGGATCTCGCAAGTGATCCGCATTTACGAGGGCGTCAATCGGGTAGAATTTGAGTGGATGGTAGGACCAATTCCCATTGACGACCAACTGGGAAGTGAGTTTGTCACCAACTTTAAAAGTGGAATTTCGTCAAATGGAGTTTTCTACACCGATTCCAACGGACGTGAGTTGATGAAACGTGAAAGAAATTTGCGTGAAGACTTTGTTTCCGACTTGAGCCGTCAACCCGTAAGCGGAAACTTTTATCCCGTAACATCCCGAATCGCTCTACAAGATGATAACAAGCGCATGGTCCTGCTCAATGATCGTTCCCAGGGAGGAGCCAGCTTGGAGGATGGTCGTCGCCATCTCTTCAACGATGGCGGTGGTGTGGGCGAACCTCTGAATGAGACGCAATATGGAAAAGGACTAATAGCCCGAGGAAAACTGTATCTTGTTCTTGATTCAGTGAAAGAAGGAGATACTGTAAAGGAGCGTGAGGCGGAAAAGGAACTTTTCCTTCCCTTCTTTAAATTCTTTAGCAGGACTAGTGACCTCGAAAAGGCTACGACTAAAACCATACCCGACTTCAACGAGCTCCCTCAGTCAGTTCATCTTCTCACCTTGGAGTCCTTTACTGAGAATGAAATTTTGCTACGTTTCGAAAACTTCTTGGATATATCTGAAGGCAAGTTGATTAGCTTCAACATACGTGATATATTCGACAGTTTGGGTGGTATTGCGATTAGAGAAACCACTTTGGATGGTAACATGCCACTGAACGAAATGAAGCGATTTAAGTTCCATGCTCAAGAGTCCGGAAATATGCCATCAGTCGTGGAATACTCTACAGCACAACATAAATCACTTGAAGCTGAGAATTCTGACGAAGCATCAATGTTTACAGTATCATTATACCCCATGCAAATTCGCACTTTTATCATTAAAACAGAATAGGTTTAACTGTGCATTTAAAATAAATGAGATACAATCAAAAAACAATATTGTCATTTCCTTGGTTTATACCTACTATCCTCCACTTTGGCATGTGTGGCTTTCACTTTTTTGAGATTAGAAGTCAATTCACTAAATTTCAGAAAGCTGAAGTGGTTCAAAATCATAAACCTCTCCTTATCTTTAAGTGGGCAATAATCAATTAAAATCCATTTAACTAATTGAGTAATTGAATGATAAGAACTGCAATTGAATGTCGAATTCGAGATAAGGCTAGGATCAAGTACAATTTGATTATGTTGGCAACAATAACGCACTGCATGTGTGCAAATTAAACGCAAGGTACTTACCCTTTGCTAATGGTATTGTGTTACTCGATTGGTCTTCTTGACTAAATTAAATTCAAAACATTCTGAAGTGGCGATTACTTATCAGATAACCCCCCATTGAGAAGCTTATAAAAGTGGGAAAGTTGTTTTTATAAAGTCAGTTTTTGGTCAGGAGTTGACGGCGTGGGAAATCTGTAAAACGGTTAAAATGAAGGCCTTGGCCATATTATTATTCTTTTTGGGCCTTCATATTGTTCAATCTGAGGCTGTCTGCGGCTATGAGGTGATTTAAACGTAAGCACTTAAAACGTAAACAACCAAGTAAAAAGTTCCTTTTCCAGTCATGTCCTGAAACAAAGTCCAATATGATCAACATTCACTTGGTGCCTCACTCTCATGACGATTTGGGCTGGTTAAAAACTGCCGATCAGTATTACTATGGTAATAAGCATAGCATTCAGCATGCCGGCGTCCAGTACATATTCGATACTGTTGTGGCGGAACTAAGCAAGGATCCGCGTCGTCGGTTCATTCAGGTAGAGACGGCCTTCTTTGCCAAGTGGTGGGAGGATCAGTCGGAGATTAAGAAGCAACTGGTGAAAAAACTGGTGAACGAGGGACGTCTGGAGTTCACTGGTGGCGCTTGGAGTATGAACGATGAAGCCGCCGTAAACTACCAGAGTGTGATCGATCAGTTCGCCGTTGGATTGAAGTAAGAGCTCGCTTAATCAACATTTTCTCGTTATGTAATCAGTTAAACACCACTTTAAGATTTCTAAATGACAACTTTGGGGTTTGTGGACGTCCTCGAGTCGGTTGGCAGATCGATGCCTTCGGACACTCCAGGGAACAGGCCTCGATGTTTGCTCAAATGGGTTTCGATGGCCAGTTCTTTGCGCGTATGGATCAGAATGACAAGAACAAGCGAGTGGATAACTTGGGCCTCGAAATGATTTGGGATGCTAGTGAGACGCTGAAAGAACTGGATTTCTTTACTGGCATGCTCTACAATCACTACTCGGCTCCTCCCGGCTTTTGTTTTGACTCGCTGTGTCAGGATGATCCCATTATTGATGGAAAGAGCTACGACAACAATGTCAAGTCCAGGGTGGACGATTTCATCAACTATGCCTCGAATTTGGCTGGGTACTATCGCTCGAATCACATAATGGTACCAATGGGCGATGACTTCCAGTACGAAAATGCTTACATGAACTACAAGAACATGGACAAACTGATTAAGTAAGTTAAAGACAATTATTTGGATTGAAGGGTTTCTTAAATATATAAGTTTAGGTATGTCAACGAGCGCCAGGCAAGTGGCTCCAAGTACAATGTCTTCTACTCGACTGCAGGATGTTATCTGAATTCCCTGCACAGGAGTCTCCAAAGTTGGCCAAATAAGACTCAGGACTTCCTGCCCCACTCGCATGAGGCAAAGAGCTTTTGGACCGGCTTCTTCACTTCCCGTCCAACTCAAAAGCGATTTGAGCGCGATGGCAACCACATGTTACAGGTGGCCAAGCAACTGAGTGTGCTCGCTGATCTCTCAAGCGAAAATCATACCAAAGACTTGGACTACCTTCGTCAGATCATGGGTGTAATGCAACATCATGATGCCATCACTGGAACCGAAAAGCAGGAAGTATCAAATGATTACGATCGACTTTTGTATGATGCTATCTTGGGAGGTGCCAACACCGCCCGCGATGCCCTTCGATTACTCACCGATCAGCCGAATGGGGAGTTTAAAAGCTGTTTGAGATTAAATATAAGCGAGTGTTCCTTTACCAAAGAAAGTGCTGATAATGTGATGGTGACTTTGTACAACCCATTGGCCCGCACTTCCACGCAGTACGTACGAGTGCCTGTGAAGGAGGAAAATTACCAGGTCACCGATGAGAAGGGTCGCGTGGTGGCTTCTGCACTGGTCCCAGTTCCCTGGCAGGTCTTGTCCCTGGACTTCCGTAATAACAACACTCAGCATGAGCTGGTCTTCAAGGCATCCGTAAACAAAATTGCCAACTACTATATAAAGGAGGTCGACAAACAAGATAAAATTCTCCTCACTCAAGGCAAAAAGTCATCCCAAGAGGAAGAGTTCAAAATGGAGGTGCCCAAGAGATTCCAGAAGGTGCACTCCTTAAAATCTGGTACGGAGACCCACGATGAAGAAGAGACTATTGTCGAGAATTCGGTGAGTCCCAAAGATAATATGTAAAGAGAAATTTTTATTTAACGATCTGTGTTAATATATATTTTATTAGCTTATAAAACTGGTGATTGACAACAAAACAGGCCGTTTGAAGACCGTTGAAATGAACGGAGTTTCCGAAAACATTGAGCAGACCTTTGGAATGTACAAGACAGCCCGATCTTGCCACTACATTTTCCGCCAGGATGCAGATTTGGAAGTTCTGGAAGATGCTTTCGATTTCACCGTATACGAAAGTGACTTGGTCAAGGAAGTCCACCAACAGGTGAACGAATGGATCTCCCAAGTGATCCGAATCTATGAGGGAGTCAACCGTGTGGAGTTCGAATGGCTGGTGGGTCCTGTTCCAATTGACGACGAGCTTGGCAAGGAGATTGTCACCATCTTCAAGAGTGGAATCTCCTCCGATGGAGTCTTTTACACCGACTCAAATGGTCGTGAAATGATCAGGAGAGAAAAGGACAAGCGGGAGGACTTTAGTCCCGATCTGAGTGAACAGCCTGTGAGTGGCAACTATTATCCAGTCACCTCCAGGATGGCTCTGCAGGATAGTAGCAAACGAATGGTGCTGCTCAATGATCGCTCCCAGGGAGGAGCTAGCCTGGAAAATGGACGTTTGGAGATGATGCTGCATCGTCGTCACATTTTCGCCGATGGATCTGGGGCTGCAGAAGCTATTAATGAGCAACAGTTCGGAAAAGGTCTGATTGCCCGCGGAAAACTGTTCCTTTCCCTAAACGCTGTCGAAGATGGAGTTACTGCATTAGAACGTATGGCGGAAAAGGAGATTCACCTGCCCTTCTGGAAGTTCTTTAGCAAATCAAGTAACATCCTAAAGGAAGTACCTAAGTCGTTGCCCGATTTCAACGACTTGCCTCAGTCGGTTCACCTTCTCACCATGGAGCCCTACTCCAAGGACGAAATTCTTCTGCGATTTGAGAACTTTTTGGATCAATACGAGGGCAATGTGGTCAGCTTTAACATTCGCCAAATATTCGATGATCTTGGTGGACTGGAAATTCGGGAAACCACCTTAGATGGCAACCTACCTCTTAGCGATATGAAGCGCCTGAAGTTCCATCATGATGGTTCTGGTCCTAGTCCATCAACTCCAGAGTATTTCACGAGCCTGCATAAGCCGTTGGCAGTTGACAAATCCCAGGAAGCCTCAGACTTCAGTGTCACCTTAAAACCCATGCAAATTCGCACTTTCATTATCAAAAAAGAGGTAGCTTAAGTTAACAATGACCTTTGTATAATAACTGGAACTATAAGAAAATATTTTGATTTCGGCGACATTGTGAGTTCAAACTAATCTATACTTTGTGACAATGTAAAATTGGATTTTAGATTTGGGAATATAATTCATGGCTCTAATCAGTAATCATTTCAAGCTCTCTGCTTTGCTTTCTGCCCGAAATAGACAAGCCGCAATGATAATTACGAATTCGAAATATCGATTCGAGATTATCAGTATCAGCCGCACCGCAGGCTTCTCATATTTACCACCTACAATGCAGATACATTCACTGCATTGGCTTCATCCCAGCCAGCCTCCCATGAAAACACCTCAAATCCTGGCCTGAGTCGGCATAAGTCCTTTGCTGATTTGGTGAACCCGTGCCTTCCACTTCCCCCTCGTTTGCATTTTTGTTGTGAGCTTTCGGCGCTGTGCAACATATACATATATATTTAAGTAGAAATGATATCTGTATGCGATAGCTTGTGGTTGTTGGTCTAATGCTGCTAATGTCTGGCACTCGAAAAAAGATTTGCGCCCAATACCCCTCAGTTGAGCCCCTGCCCACTAAATACTTTTGTGCCAACACCACACTCGCATTGCAGGAGGACTGTGGTCCTGGGCTTTTATTATTAAGTTCGCCACGGGAGACTTTAATCTTCCGTCTCCTGGTTGGGACAGCCGGCTCACACACAGCTACACCCTCGGATCTACTCCATTTCACTTCACTGCGATGCAAAACAATGAACTCCTGAATTCATGCCATATGTGTGTGCGAGTCCTGTGTCCTGGGAGATGTGAAAAATTATTTAATATTGCCCGTCTTAGGCGATGAGGCGAGGCAAGTTGAGGCGTTGTTTGGTATTAATCCTTGGCGAGCATTAGACACGGAATTTAATTTAGTTCCTTTAGAAGGATGGAATGGCACACAGAGCCAAAATATCAACAATATTAAAAAGTAAAAGCCAAAAAAAGTTTAAAATTAAATCAGACATGATCACATTATTGTTTTTGAGAGGTTTTAAAAATATGTTGTATTAGGTCAGCAGAGTATTCTTGATAACTGTGAATCATAAACTGATAAGAACCCTTGATTTGATTTTGATTTTATTTATAATTAAAATAATATTTTTAATATAGTATGTAATTTATATACTGATATTATTTTATGTTACGAAACCTTAAATTATTTTGTTTTATTAATAGTAAAGTGACTTAATTTATTTTTACAGCTTAATTGGTTTTTATCAAGTCACAATGTATATATTATATGTTACTATATCTATATTTAAAATTTAAATTAATATATTATATTATATTTTAATGCAATATATTATATATTATTCTTTTAAGTAGCACTAGGTATAGAAAATATTATTATTATAGTTTTTCTCTGTGCAAGACTTGCCACAGTGTGGCCTGGCATATGTGTGCCAAATACCCCATGCTGGCTGTCAAACTCCGCTTTGTCGACTTCCGGTCGAGTTGGCGCTTTTGATTCAAATGGAACCCAAGCCAGAATTTACCCACCACCCACTCGCCTCCTGTTTACTCGCTGAGCTGGACAGATAATCCAACTTTGATTAAGTAATTTCAACGTTGGGGAACGTAATAAGTTGGGTGTGCAAATCCAAGACTCAGTCGTTTATTCCCACGTGTGGGTCTGGTGAAGACAAGAAAACAAATAGATCGTTTTGTATTTGGTACTTTTTTGTGAATCTATTTTATTTAATTTTAGACAGTTATATTATATTTGATGTTCTATTAAAGCAACTAAAAAAATCTACATATTGGCCATACTCATATATTAATTTTTACTAATAATTTCTAAATGATAAGAAAATCTTTAAAAACAAATAAAAAGAACTTAAAAACAAAAATAATCAACAATGAGCAAAAAACCTTATTCATTAAGCACGATAAGAGGAAACAAGCAGGAAGTTTATGTGGTATTTGGCAATAAATTAATTGGCAATAAATTCAAATGATTAGGTGAAGGGCAAAGAGCAAATACTCAAAATAAAAACAAGGCAGTGCCATTCTATTGAAACAATTGATAAGACCGTCCAAAATCGTATCTCTAAGCTATGATTCACTTTATATTATTTTTATATATATAGTCAAATTAATTAAGCACGATCAGGACAAACAAACACGAATTTTAAGTGGTATTTCCACTTAATTTGCAATAAATTTAAATGATTAGGTCAAGGGCAAAGAGCATACACTTAAAATAAAAGCAAGGCAGTGTCACTCTTTTAAAACAATTGATAAGCCAGGGAACACCGTCCAAAAATCGTATCTCTAAACTATGTCGCACAGTGGAGTAACAGTTGCATAACAGTTGAAAAAAAATATTTTTTGATAGCTCTTCGGAATTTAATGACTTCACTTTAAAGAAAATTCTACCACTAATCCAAATAGGTAACCCTTTAATCAGATATTTTTTAACACGACCCTTCAAAATTGACAGATTCAAGGTTATTAAAAACACACAGTCTACATGAATGCGATTGTGACTGCTTGGCGAAAAAAGCTTCAAAAGACGACTTTAGTACTTGAAGCCCTTTACTATATATATATATAAATATATATATGGATTTTGAATTCTCTAATGTGCCTTTTTATCGATGTCCTATGACATAACTGCTTCCAATATACCGGTATAGGTACAAAAGCATTATTCTATCTTAACTTCAAAGGTGTCCAGTGTCAGGTTCATGATGCAGTAAATCGAATCACTGAAACTAGAAAATCTAGGTAAATGTAAGCTTTTGAAAATATGGAAATTATGTTTGAAAATCTGACAATCCATAAAATATTGGCGATTGAAAAAGGACCCTTTCAACGTTTTGGCAGAACCTTTCTTTCAATCCACTAATTTCACCCCTGCGACATATACAATTCTGACAAAAGTTGGAATCGAATAACTGTAGTTAAAAAATTATCAGTCTATTCGAAATGCATTATTTTACAAATTGCGACAATTACTTTGAACAAAAATGAAAATAATTTTTCAAATTTAAACATAAAAAATGCCGTTTAAATAACTTACTTACATCTGGTTCAGGAAATATGATTTTTAGCAAAAACAAAAATTGAAATTGTGCCACTGTATGAAAAAAACCCGCATTTGCTTATCAGCAGCTTAGCCTATAAAAAGACGCTCTTATTGGAATAGACTAAGCAGTGTATATTCTCAATTATTGTGCGACAGTAAGGTTTTAGAAAAATGCGACGCCTTGTAGTACTGATCTTGTGTTGGATGTCCTGGAAAAATGTATTCGCATCACTGGTGAGTTTATAATTCAACATCCCCATGGTCCTGGCAATTTATTCTAATCCTTGACAGGCCCCACCCGATACGTACGGCCTGAAAAGAAGATTAGATAGACTGGAAGATAAGCAGTTTTCCGATGGCGTTAATACCGATCGCAAGCTGCTGCTCTTGGTATCAAAGATGGGCTCAGCTTTTTATGAACAAATCGAAAAAGGTGAACAAAAATTGGAACTAGAAGGCCAGCTTGCAACATTATCATCCAAGTATGACGACCTTTCTCAAAAGTACTCCAACATTGAAAAACAGTTGAAAATCAAAGATCTTGATTTACCTTGGAATAGTTATTCGCCGTATGTCGAAACTCCGAGTTCACCGTATGTCGAAATTCCGCGATACACAGAGTCAATGAAAAGTCCGGGTAGTTATGAAATGTATCAATCTGAACCAAAACAGCAAAACCAAAACTATACTGAAAACAACGAAAAACTTAATTGGCAAGATGCGATTGCAGCATTATCAATCAAGCATGACGACCTTTCTAAAAAGCTCTCCAACATTGAAAAACTGTTAAATAACCAAAATCTTAATTCAGAAATTCCAAGTTCATCGTATGTCGAAATTCCTCTACCCAAAGAGCCAAGTAAAAATGCGGCTAGTTTTGATTTTTTTTTTGAACTAGAACGGAAAATGGGTTTCGTCACGATTCGTGAAAAACAATACTATATTGAAACAAGAAAGGAAAGCTAACTTCGGGCGGAGCCGAAGTTGATATACCCTTGCAGAATACTCTGTAAATTATATTCTCCAAAATTATTCATATGATGCATTCTTAATACTCATAAAAAATCCCAACTTCCTAACTTTAAAAACACCAAAGTTATGGCATTTCCAATCGTTCAGTTATATGGCAGCTATAAGATATAGTCGGCCGATCCTTATGAAATTTGGTATGTCGGATTGATTGGCCAAAAATGAAACCCATAGAAAATCCCAACTTCTTATCTTTAAAAACACCAAAGTTATGGCTTTTCCGATCGTTCAGTTATATGGGAGCTATATGATATAGTCGCCCGATCCGGCTCGTTCCGACTTATATACTACCTGCAATAGAAAGACAACTTTTGGGAAAGTTTCGAGCAGATAGCTTTAAAACTGAGGGACTAGTTTGCGTAGAAACGGACGGACAGACGGACAGACGGACAGACGGACAGACGGACAGACGGACGGACAGACGGACATGGCTAGATCGACTCTCCTGGTGATGCTGATCAAGAATATATATACTTTATAGGGTCGGAAATGTCTCCTTCACTGCGTTGCAAACTTTTGACTGAAATTATAATACCCTCTGCAAGGGTATAAAAAACGAAAAACTCAATTGGCAAGATGCGGTTGCTAAATGTAGGACTTTGTCAAAAGAAGTGGTCACTAGTGAAATTATGGATAAACAGGACGGTATCATTAATCACATAGATTGGACCAAAAATTATTGGGTGCGTCAAGTTGATTATAGATCTGATTTTCCCTCACATTATTATCAGCAACCAAATAATTATGCAACATCTGTTAACAGAGAGAATTGCGCGGAGTTACAAGGAGGAAGTCTCTTATATAACTTCATAGATTGCTCGAATTTAAATTACTTTATATGCTATTCAGACATGTTCCGCTAATAAATTCAAAAGATTACATATCCTTTTAACTCCGCAAAATATATTGTTTCCTTAAATTTGATTGTGTTTTAAATAAATATAAAGTTCTTAAAAAACTAAAATGTAACGAATTAACCATTGCTTAAAAAGTAAAAGTACGCAGCGACACTCAAATATAAAATTTTGATTTCTTAAACTACAAATTGGTCTTCTTTTTTATAGAAAAGAGTGGGGCACGAAATCAACCAAAGCTTAAACTAGGTTCAAAGGGAACTCAAACCAAACACATATGAATTGGTCTAAGCGGGTCGGGTGAAAAAAAAGAACAATGCAGAAATGGTAAACTAAGCGGCTAAACAAATATCGTCATCGAGCATAAATCCTCTCACTAAAGCGCTCACTCGACAACTCAATAATACGAGTACAACAGCGTTAAAAAAGAACGATCCAAAGTGTGCTTTTTGGCACTTCAAATACAGGAACTGCAGTCGGCTTATAGACAATCGGCTGGTCCCCCGGCGAATCCATTGCACTATGGGGTTTTTGACCACTTTATGTGGCATTTAGTCATTTTTTAAAAGTGCTTTAATTAAAAAAAAAAAATGGGAATGCATTAACAGAACATCAAACTGTTATGCCTCATACTCAAAATGTTAATACTTAACAGCATATGTTAGCATAACAGCTGTAAAGTCAGCTGTTGCATGCGAAAGTACCAGCGCTAAGTTTGCAATTTTTTCAAGGCGTTCTTTGAAATTAATTTATTCGTGTAAAACACCATTTGAAAAGAAAAAAACAAATGTAAACTGATCTCACAGGCTTGTACTATATGTTAAATGTATTAATTGTTTAAATTATGCGTGTTTATACTAATATTTTGTCACTTTATAAATGCACCTTAAGCTGAATTTTGAGGAACAAATTTCAACTTTGGGAAGAGTTTTGAAATAGAAGTTTGCATTAGTTTTCAATGCGTCCAAGTGTATGTTGTAGCCTTGTCAATTCTGAGCAAAAATATGTTAGTCTTATTGTGCACTTTTCCGCACTATTGGTGCAATTTGAATTTTTCTTAGATAACCTCACTTTCTCCAACGCCGACTTGGTTGCTGTTTGGAATAGCGGGAAGGGCCGGCTTGAGCAAGAAAAGGCTATAAAATGTTTGATGAACAAATTATTTATAATATGAGGATCATTTTTAAATGTTTGTCCTGTCAGTTGCCCGTCAATTTGGACAAATTCGAATCATTTTGCCTACAAACTGGCGAATTGTTAGTCGATATGTACCGTGGCTGCCGATGAGTTTTGAGTTTGACGAAATTTTTTCTTTTTGCTTTTGTTGCACTTATTATCATCATCTTTTATAGGCATGGACCAACAAATTTCAGCTCTTTAAATTTCATTAATTTTTTTTTAGTTTTAACCGATCGTTCCTATGGGAGCTATAGGATATTGTTTCCTGATCCAAACGATTTTCATACTATATGTGCCTAGGGACAAATAATGACGATTGGTAAAGTTTCATGTCGATATCTCCAAAACTGACCGAGTTATTAATTAATGCCACAAAAACAGGTCAAAAACCCCATAGTGCATTGGACCTAAGGCCCCAGCGGTAAATTGTGGGCAAGTTAGTGGTTGTGTGGCCCTATGTATGTCATTTTAATCAACGGAAACATGCATCGGATTATCCGACAGCTAAACAACACCGCAGTGCCAATGAATGGAGAAGCGTTTCGTTTTGACAATTGGCACTGCGATGCTAAACTCGTCCCGCTCCACATTTTGCCCTTCCCCAGAACGACAATTAAATGCGCAGTGAGGCTCAAGCCTACTTAGGCTCTATAAAACAGCGAACACATGCTGGATATACGAGTACATTCACTGAAAAAAAATTAATGGTAAAATCAAAATAGAAGAATGTACTTTTTCTTTGAAATAATTAATTAAATAATATATTTTACATTTTCAGCGTGATTTACTTGTGATTAAAGCTACTAAAGAATGCAAAACACTATTAAAAGACAAAAAAAAAAATTAGTTTGACATTCTTTACTTATTAGTTACTCGGTTTAACAAAAAAAAGATACTACTGTAATAAAAAGACTTAAAAGGCTTTTTAAAACAAACACTGAATTAAAAATTTTATATTGATATGCCTTTATTTTATAAAAGATTTTTCCCGAAGTGTATGCGATGTGTATATGGCATGTTTCCAAGCGCTTGCGAATTTATTGAACCGCAACAAATGTCATTGATGTCATCATCAACAGCATCATCTGCCACTGCAGCTCTTGATGATCACCAAAGGCATTATGAAAATGCGACATCGACAAGCGTATCCGAATCTTTTTATTAGCAACAAGTTTTTAATATCGCAGCGGGAGCTCATATTCGTAGAGGAGGTAGAGGTAGAGAGTGCCATGAAATGCTTCAAACTTTTAACAATAGCACCCTAGTCTATCTATATCCCAACTCCCGCCCTTCCCCCGCGGTTCCTCCGCAGGACGAGCATCCCTTAGAGAGCGCTGATTTTATAAGAATTTAATATGCGCCACGTATTTGGATGTCGAGGATGTGTTTCGGTTTATTCCTACTCGTCCTTTCTTTTTTGCGCAGTTTCTTGGATCATTCACACTTCGAGTAGGAGAAGAAGACTTCCACAAAGATGGGCCACAAAATAGGAACGGGGTTCGAAAATCAAATTATTATATAGCAGTTAAAGATTGAAGTATTATTATATTTAGTATTATTAATTTATTTTAACATAATTACATCACATTTAAAATTACATTTTATTTTTTTTATTATTTTATTAATAATAAATAATACATTTTTAACTTGGTGATCATAAAAAATTTTGAATTTTGTAATACTAAATTTTTAAGATCCAAGGCTTCTATGCAATTGCAAAGAAAATAATCTGCTTAAACAGGAAGTCCAAATCAGGAGCTTTGTTTTTATAATATATATAAAAAAAAACAAAAAATTGCAAATGATTATAAACTGCACTCCCGTCTGATCTTTCAAATATGTCGACGTTTTCTTCATTACATCATAACGATTATGAAATAAATACTTCCGTTTCTTTGAGACGTCTCCCGAGTTTGAGGAGTGCGGGGTGAGAAATTCCGCTTCACTTCTCGCTGGCTCTGTGATTTTCCATGGAGGAGAAATAAATCAACTGCATGTCCTGTTCCTGGCGATTGCCAGGAGTCCTCGCTCTTTCTTCCTCTCCATGAGAATCGTGTATTTATTGTTGCGTTTTTAAGTTTGGAATTTTTAATTTATTGCTCATCCTTCATTGTTGAAAGTTATAATTCTTGCATCTATGGAGACGGGGCTGGGCCTGCTTAAGGAATAAAATATATTTGCCAGCTAGTCTCGAAAATTATGATGTATGTGCAATAAATAATCCGAAATAAATAAATTATCACCAGAGGTTTTTCGGGCAGGGCCGACCCGAGTGGCGCACCTAATAGATGCTGGTTTTCGTTCCGTACAGGATGGTATTCCTTTTTTTTTTGCAGTCGGATTTCTATGATTTGTTGGTAAACCCGTCTCTGTGTGCGAGAGTGTTTTCCTGGCGGTTTTACACATTTACAAGGGTGCTAATGCTAGTTTTGTGCACTTTTTCTTCGGTTTCGTGTGTGAGTCCCTATTCCTACTCCTTGGCAATCCTTTGGCTGGGCCATAAATCAAGGCTTGATTTGGCGCCTCGCATGTGTCCGGGCATGTCCTTTGTCTATTTGCCTAGCACACGGCATCCTTTTGTTTAAATGCGCCAAATATACTCGTCCTTGTCGACGTTGACTGTCCTGCCAACTACCATTTTCGTTGGTTTTTTCCTCGCTCCTTTTTGTTTTAGCCAGGGGTTAACCCTTTTAACCCTTGGCAAGCGACTCCTCTTTGGTTAACCACGGACAGCACTAGATGACATTTTTCCAGGACATATTGCCCCGACACTGAGGTCAACCTTTTTCATGTTCATTGGCTTTCCCACTCGCAGAATATGAATTCGCTTTGGCCCGACAGTTTTTGGATCCCTTCCTCTTATTTTGACCAACCGACTAATTACGATTCATTTGCCAAATAACT